GAAGTGGCCAACCCATGTTTCTAGAATTCCAGTAGCCATCAGACAGGTGACACAGAGTAGCACTAGCCCGTCACAAACTAGTCCTATCTTGAGCAAGGATCATACCATGCCTGGAAATAGAAGACGACGTAAAAGGCTTCAGCACAAGGCAGCCACAGGCAGTTCGCCACAATCCGTAGCACCTTATTCATGCAAGGAAGGCTGTATTACGACACCCGATGGCTGCAGTGTTTGCACCAAAGTTGTTTCGGTAGTCGATGAGGCATTTGCATGCAACCTATGTCAACGATGGGCGCATTGCCACTGCGACACCAAAGTCCCCCGACAATACTATAAGCTGATGAAGAGACAACCATGCAAGTGGTTCTGGTACATCTGTCCAGAGTGCAGGAAAATGCCCGCACTCCGCACAGAAAGCCTGAAGGAGATGCTCTCCGCCACGCAAAAGCTACCAGCACCCTCGAATAAAGTAGGGTTAACACCAAAGATAACACAGAGAGACCTGGAAACAGACCTAGAGCTCCAGCTGCGGGCACGCCACCTCGCGTGGGGACCATATTAGGTCAAGTCTCCATACCTCCTACCCGGCCCCAGGGGACGTCAAGCGTATGGCCAAAGACATCGACCGCTGAAGCCTCTACGAAACCCATTCCAAACACCCCACACACCGTGACTGAGAAACAACCAGTGGAATTACTCAAACCCATTGGGAAGTCGGGCGTGCCACCCACAACGAACCCAGGTCACAGGAGGACCAACTCGATCATTTTGTTCAACGTCGATGTATCGACAGACTCATTGTTGGTCGAGAGGGAACGGTTTGACAGCCGAATGTGGACCGACTACTGTCAGATGCTAGGACTCCCTCCCCTCCCTGCAACTTTATGTCGCCTTTCTCGAGGAAGCCGTGCACCCCGAGATAAGCCACCCCCTTTACGTGTGTCCCTAAATACTACCAAAGAGGCTGAAGACACACTCCTCCTCTCGCGACAACCGGACGTTGTTAATGCCTGTAAAATTCGGGCCAGGCCTGACAAGCCATGGTCAATAAGAGAGGAGGAGAGAAAGTCAGCGGTTGGAAATCCCAACAGAAACAACACTATAGTTGTACATGGGATTCCAGAATTGCCAAGTGACCGCTCGGTCAAAGATCGGTACTTTCACGACGTCCAACAATGGCAATGGCTCTCAACCAAAGTTGGTCTCAACAGTATACCGGCCAACAGCGTCAGTAGACTGCCAAGGCCAGCGCACCTGAAGACCATACCCAATCCCAGACTACTCGCCGTCCAGTTCGACTCATATGCCTCCCTCACAGACGTTCTACAGGCATGGTATAATGCGAAGGATCGCATGGGTGGCTCAATACGTATATGTGAAAGTAAGCCTAGACCCACAAGGCAAGAGGAGAGACGACAACCACCAAGACCCCTGGAGTCAGTGGTCGTCACACAGGCGCTGACCAGTGAGTTAGATACATCAAGTAAAGAAGCCACCACTGCCACAGCCCCCACCCAAGTTAATAACAAAACACCAAAAAACGGAACAATGCCAGTCCTATGAGGACTGGCGAGGGTAGACCCAACCACATAAGCTCTCATCCTGCGAAAATACACAACCAGACCTCCCCCTCACCAGGCACACTCTAATATGTATGTACAGCAACGTTAGGGGGCTAAGAGGGAAGGTAGCAGAAATGAGGACGCTGCGTGCACATCAGCACTCCGACATCATATTCATCACCGAATCCTGGCTCTCGCCAGACATCTCCGACGAAGAGATGCATGTTACTGGCATGGAACTCTTCCGCAGGGACAGGGAACATAGAGCAGGAGGAGGAGTGGCTATCTACGTAAACTCTTGTTTAAAGGCAAGGATGGTTAGCGATACGGCCTTAACCCAGCTCCCAGAGTCCCTATGGTGCTACTTCACTCTCCACAGTACCAAATACCTGCTCGGAGTCATATATCGGTCCCCCACCTGCTCCCCTACACATAAGGAAATGATCATCAAGGCTATCTTAACGACTTCCTCTGCAAATTACGATTCCGTAGTCATTGCCGGCGACTTCAACACCCCGTCCATCCTCTTCGAGACGGAAGGGAGACGCATCAGATCCTTCAATCAGAAGCTGAAGGATGCAATTAAGACTGCTGGCCTCTCAGAGAAAGTGGGTGATGCTACACGCTGGGGACCTAACGGAAACGCATCGCGCCTTGACTACGTTCTGACGAACGATGAACTTCTCATTGAGGATGTTTGCATCCAACCTCCCCTTGGCCTCAGTGACCACGCTGTAATCACCTTCTCCATGATAACTAGGGAGGCTCTGCAACTGGAGACGCCCAACACCTTCCCTTGCTACAGCAAGGCCAACTATGAGACCATGAGGGACTACCTCATGAATGCATCATGGCCAGTGGACTGGACTCATCTCACAATAGATGAACACTGGTTGGAGGTGAAGAAAATAATCACTGGGGCCATCAGTCACAGTGTACCAGAAGTAACACACAGACAATCAATGAGAACCTCATGGTTAAAGCGTGGGACAGAGAGGCTTATCCGGAGCAAGAAGCAGGCTTGGTTCAAGTGGCGTACATCACGCAGGGAGTCTGACTTCTTGAACTACAAAAGGATTCGCAATCTCTGTAACATTAGAGTGCGTAACGACAGATTTTCCTACCAAACAAACTTGGCAGCGAGGTTACAAAGCAACCCCAAAAACCTGTACCGCTTCATGTCAAGAAGAAAGTCGACCAGTAAGGGAGTGAATCTTGTCACAGGCCATGACGGGAGTGTGCTAAGCAGTCTAGAGATTGCCGAGCTTTTGAGCTCACACTTCCAAGCCCAACTCAGCACTGACACAAGATCCACACCGACTCGCCACGACACCGACCAGGTCGCAAATAACGAATACCTCTGTCACGTCTCTATTACAGAGAAAAAGGTGTTCGAGAAGCTATCTAGGCTACGTCCGGGCAAGTCCCCTGGCTGCGATAACCTGAAACCAGTGGTTCTGAAAAACTGCGCCGAGGTGCTTACCAAACCACTTCGCAACCTCTTTGAGCACTCAATAGACTCGTGCAAACTCCCTAAAGAATGGAAGAGCGCCATCTTGTCACCCATCTTCAAGGGAGGAGACAGAAAAAGCCCTGGCAGCTACAGGCCGATTGCCCTACTCCCTATTGTGTCGAAAGTGTTGGAAAGCCTGGTAGCTGACACCATCTGGGAATTCCTCAATAGGAAAACACTGTCCACACTGCTCAGCACGGCTTTCGTAGTGGTCGCTCATGTGCCACCAACTTACTAACCGCCTGGGACGACTGGACACAAAGCTGGGATAATAGAAAACCTGTACATGTTGTATTTCTCGACCTAGCCAAAGCATTTGACAGTGTCCCACCCACAGTACTGCTTCACAAGATCATGTCAGCTGGTATAAGTGGACCCCTACTCTCTTGGTTCAAGGAGTACCTGGAAGGGAGGCAGTTCTGCACTAAAGTGAACAGAATAAGGTCGGAGTGGAGACCGTCGACGTCAGGAGTATCCCAAGGAGCAATCCTAGGACCGCTTCTGTTCCTCCTGTTTGTCAACGATCTGCCAGACAAAATATCCTCACCCATCCTCCTCTTCGCTGACGACATAAAAATTTGGAGGGTGGTAAACGAAGAAGCCGACTGTGCAGCACTACAAAAGGACTTGCAGCAACTCGAGCTCTGGTCGTCGGAAAATGGCCTGAGCTTCAACTGGAAAAGTGCAAAGTAATGCACATCAGTAAAAATGAGGCAAGTACGACCGACTTCCAGTACATGTTGAGCAACCGTGCTATCACCAGAGTGTCCATGGAGAAAGATTTGGGGCTCAACTTCTCCGACACCTTGGACACCAGCTCCAACTACAAAGGTATGACAACCAGAGCGAACGCCATTCTACACTTTCTGCGTAGACAGCTTGGCGCCCTCACTCCCGAACTCTTCCTCACCATTTTCAAATCCTACGTGCGGCCGCACCTAGAGGTCTTCAATACGGTGGCTCCTCCAACACTCAAGAGAGACTCTAATCTCCTTGAAAGAATACAAAGAACTGCAACAAAATGTGTTGTGGGGCTAAGGGGAAAGACGTATCCTGAAAGACTTAAACACCTCAACCTATTTACCTTGGGTTATCGCAGGAAAAGGGGTGACCTCATTATGGCATACAAGATCGCCCATCAGGCAGACCATGCAAACAAATCAATTTTGCCTGCAACTGAACGATCTTCACGAGGAAACCCCATTAAGATAGCACACCAGAGAGCCAACACCACACTCAGGTCCAAATTTTTCTCCCTAAGAGTATGTGCTTTATGGAATGCCTTACCGCGACACATCGTTATAGCTCCTTCAGTCGACTCTTTCAAGAGGCGATTAGACAGTTATGTCACCTCGCATGGACTACCACGGACGTACTCAGGTAGTCACCAACCTCAGTACCCCCAACTCCCTCCTAACTACCACTCACTATCTCTCTCCTTAATACACCCACATTACCTACTAATTCTTCTGTAGGAACCAAACCCACGCGACCATTCGGGCAATTCCCAAATACTTTTCTTTCGTTCTCATTTCTCTCTTCACCCCTTCTTTTCTTCTCCTTCCCTTTTCTCTTCCCTTTATTATTAATTATTATTTTTTCCCCTTTTTTATTCTCTCTTCATTCCTTTACCACTACCTTACTATTCTCTTTCAGGTACCTACACAGACAGGAGTCACGGTTGTTCTCTAAACTTCCCAGCAACCCGTAGCTCCCTAATCACTCTACAAATTACAACTTACTAACCCACAAAACATCCACCTCACCGAAGCTAAAAGCAAGAAAGCAGAGGGGATTTCCTCGTCCACTGCAGGAGTGAACCGAACAACTGGAACCAAGCCCTAAGAACTAGACGCGAGAGATCAAAAACTACCAGTTTTCTACGCTCGCACTATCAATATTGGATATTGGATATTGGATGTTCGGTGTAAGGCGCATAGTACGAATAATATGAAGCTGGCGTTTGTTTGATTTGTTTATCACTTCGTATATTGATGTACCATTTAGGTTACTGGGTCAAATAGAGGCGTTGGATATGGCATCATAAGAAGGCTTGCGAAATTTTATGGTGCTTCCGGAGATTGGACTATTTGTCTTACTGGTATTCAGTGGTTGTGTAAATTTGATTTTGAAGCTCGTAATGTTGAGCGCGGTCAAGAGGCTGTTGAAAAACTCAGTAGTGAGGGTCTTTCAGTGAAATTTCATCAGTTGGACATTACGGATCCTGAAAGTAGAGAAAACTTTCTGACATTTGTACGAAAACATCATCCTATGGGAATCAACATAGCTGTAAACAATGCAGGAATTGCTTACAAGGTTATCTTTACCTTTTTCCAACTTATTCACTATAGGTTGATTCTGCTGTTCCTTTCGGAGAACAAGCAAAAGCTACAGTTCATACTAATTTTTCGTCCACTATCGATTTCACGGAAGAGTTCATCCCTTTATTAGCCAACAATGCTAGGTATTCGACAATTCTTGACCTTATTTTTACAGAGTAGTTAGCATCACTGGTAGTATTTTTCTGGCTTTTCTGAAAAAGATGAACAAAGAGTTAAATCGAAAGATTACCGGCCCCATGAACATTAATGAACTAAGAGCATTTATGTCCGAGTTTGTGAAGTAAGTGTATTTTAAACTCCACGTTAAGGATTATAGCAGTTTTGGTTAAGCATAATAGGTCATTGCTAATTCATTCACTCTTCTACTGCAAATTGTTTCGTGTGCTTTTGAATACACGGCATCATGTTCGCTAAGTGCAAAGGACATCTTAGCGCAGCGTTGATTCCATTCATGTCATTGTATAGTGAGATTAGATAGATGAGAAATTTATTGCGTGAAAGCTGAGCGTGTATTAAGTAAATGCATAATAATATGTTTCTTATAACAAACATATTTTGATATATATGCTGTGGAAACAATCTACTGAGAACAAAGGAATTGATTGGTTAGTATTATGGTCATATCCCTGAAGAGTGCAAACAAGCACGAAATCTAATTCCGAAGCTTCCTACTGATTGCCACCAACCAAATAGCACCAGACGGAACGCACTGCGATGATGAGTTTCCTAATTTGATTACAAAACGATGGGTAAAATTTCTTTGACACCTAGGACTGTATAACAGGAAGTTGGATACTCTATAGTGACCAATCAATATTGAGCAAGTTCACCAGATCATCTGAGCAACCAGATTAGATCTATTTATGAGTTCCACCAACTAAAAAGCGCTATTTAATGGGATATAACTGAGTAGTAAGGTGGTCCAGTTGTCTCATCAGTTAGATATGCTACCTGGTAAGCAGCAAAAGCGCTGACTTGATCGAGTGGAATAGATTTGACTTCTCTGACAAACCCTCATATAGAATTCATAAATTACTTTGACGCTGTGCTATTTCAAGCCTTCATTATAATCAGATATTTTGAGATTATGGTAATTAGTTCAGTCTGTGGTTTGCTAACAAATATAGTTGATAAAAATATTGATGTATATAAAGTTTTTTTTTCTGTAAAACTTGTGCCTTTTTAGATGTGCTGAGGATGGTACTTATTCTGATAAAGGTTGGCCGCCAAATGCGTATGCTGTTTCAAAACTGGGTCTCACTAAGGCATCAGAGATCTTTGGTGAAATGCTGAAAAATGATACTAGGCATATCATATTTAATTCGGTTGGTACAAATTTTTTATTTTACTTCTATCTTAACACTCACTGTCATAAGTATTTCGCACACGACGTGGTGTCTATTTAAACAGATTTACAAAATCAACGTAGGATCTTGCACACAGGTGCATCAGATCAAGCTGTCACACTTCGCTAGTATACAGGGAACAGGTGGATAGAAAAAGTGACATCAAAATACACAAAGGGGTATGAGAGAATAAACAGTCTGAAGATAACGGTTAATGTGAATATTCAAGCTTTAGATGATGTCAAATAGTGAATAAATCTGCGCCATTGCGACCGATTTTCAACCATTTCACCAAGAGTTCTCAACTAACAATTCCTTTCATCTCAAGGACCCTAACCAGACAGTCGACATCTCTCGACACGGCTTAGGCCAACAGTAAGTGACTTCATCGACTGGTGTCACGTCTTGTCTTGTTTTGTCACCAAGAATCCTCTTCCAACTCAATCGAACTTCCTCCAGCTTGGTACGTTGAGGTACGCGGTGACTCGGCATGTGCAAGCCATCTCAGTCGACTAAGGTCCACAACCTCATTAATCGACTTGTCAGTCTTGCCTATTACTCAGCGCCTGACCTCAACATTTCTGACACGATGATTCCACCAGCCGTAAACACTGCTACGAAGGCATCTGTGATCAACACCCTGTAATCGATTCATGTCTTCTACTTATAACGACCATGTCTGACAGCCGTATAACAGGATTGGACGAACTGCAGCGTAGTATACTCGTCCTTTAATAGATAGTCGGATATCTCGGTGGCCGGTGCCACAGACGACGCAAGTTAGCAACTGCGAAACAGGCCTTCTGTATCCGAGCTGAGATTTTGTCATCGACTGTCTAAGTAAGGTGGTCGACACATTCCACCAATTCACTTCCTGTCATTAAATTGGGGGGCGGGGTGGGGCTGCATACTTGTCGTACTTATTAACTACGGTATAAGAAGTAAATTCACTCAAAACACGTTCCTCTATTTCGTTATAGCCTTAGCTTTTACCAGATTCGTTTTTGTGTCAAACCGGACAATTAAGCGTGTAAATGGAAGGTGTGATGCATTCTAAGCGATTAGTGTGTAATGAAAATGCTCATTGACATATCACGTAATTGGTAGGGAAGCCGTGTATGTCAGACTTTTGTTCAATTTCATATTGAAGTGAGTGTAAACATGAGGACAAAGTAGGAGGAAGTTACACTAAAACACCGAATCAATCCATGAAGTCTTAGACAATCGATTCGCGATCGACGCGAAGACTCATCATTAGTTTACGTTGAAGTTGCTTTCGCTCTTCATCATGGTCAGAGCCAGCTGGAACTAGCCTTCTGGCGTCAATCAATTCGGGTTAGGTTGCGGAAATTCACTGACGTTTACTAACTTTCGGGTGTAAGTTACCAACTGTCCTACCGCTGTTTCTACAGCAGACTTAATATCACTCTAGGTTTCCTCAGGATGAGCATTGTTGTCATGTTCAGATAGATGCTTAGCTAACTCCCCCATAAATACGTATTTGGCGTCCTCATCTTCGGCTGGAGAATAGAAAGGCCTGTTTCATGAGATCAGTAAGGTGTGGACGTACACGAGCCCGTACTAGCGCGTGATCGGAGTCTAAACAGGTGCTCCAGAAAGAGTAGAGCTGTGGCTCATTGGTTTAGGGAGATGGCTCTCAACCAACGAATCACGGGTTCGAGCTCCGTTACACCTATCGAGGTTTGGGTAGCCAGGTAGTATCACTAGTCCTCAAACAATAAGTGTGGCTCATTGCCTACTGCACGAATGTGCACAAAGTTGCTGAGCGCGTTTCTATTTGGACGTCAGAAAGAGAGGCGATCCTCCACTGATTCTATTCAGTGATGGCATATGACAATATGATCTACCTGTGTCCATCGTTGGGTTGAAGTTGGTGGATTCTATGTGAGACAGTATCTCTCCTTATGACTAAAGTTAGCGCTGATTAGAAACAAGTGATTGTCGGGACAAAATTGCAACAGACGATCACCGTTCTCGGTTCGTTGGCATATGATTCCATAAATACTCCCCAAAATGCCTTTCCGATTGGCTCAGCTTCCCTACTTGAGCGTTAAAGTCACCTGGCATTGTGATTACATTTCAACGTTTTGCTTTCTGCAGCAAAGTTGACAGCTTTTAATAGAATTAATTTTTTGCATCATCCGAGATATAGTCGGTGGGTGCACAGGAGGAGATTACGAATAGGCATCGCCTAGTTTTACGATCTTCTTTAGTTCTTACAGATCCATCCAGTGGGACAGCATATAGACGAGTGTTAATTGACATCCCGTCGAGAAGCGCACTTTTTGACCTACAACTCAATGCTATGCCGACACCACGGAGTTCACGAGACCTAGTCATTGGGTTTCCAGATACTTCTAAGATGAGTTTTAAAGATTCACTACTGTGGTCAGATGAGGTCAATTTCATAACCACACACGGGTGTCTTTGAGACAAAGCATACATCCATGACTAGACATTTCAGAGTTCTGGCGAGCGATGCTTACTATCTAATTTGACGTAGAGTTCGGATGTTGAAGGCTCCTACATGAAATCGATGGCAGGGTCTTAGGAGACTACGACTGGGGTTTCGATGGCTTTGATCATTCGTAGTGGTCGCAGAATAAGAGGTTGGGGAGGGTGTAAGAGGCTTAATATTAGTATCAGAAGGTGAAGGTAAATGAGAAAACAGAGTTGAGGAGGATAGGTTATGCTTGATTGGATCTTGTGTACTACTGGAAGTGTGCGAGGGGGTGACACTTTCCGGCTGGCCACACTGTGGAGGGCTATTTCTTATCATAGTACCTGAAAGAGAAAAAGATTTGTGTGACCACAGGTCCCATGGAAAAACTGCTTGAAGCTCGTCACACAGCCTTTTGTGGTATGATTTTTCGAGGTTTAGTTGTTTGAACGCCGGATAGAGAGAGCCCAAAACGCCGGCATCGGAAAACAAAGGGATAGGGGTGCGTGCTGTTTTTGGGGTCGACTTTTTCTAACCGCTCCTCCCCATTGGGAAGACAGCATCTGCGTGACACTTCTGGACATCCAAGGGAAACACCGTGCTGCTGTCACTCCCCATCCGGCTATCAACAGTACGACTTCACCCTCGGTGTCCCCCATCATAGTGTGGTAATTTATCCTACAACGGTAACTGCTTTTTGTCTTACCACTATCCAACAGACCTATCTGTTATGGTAGTACCTCAAGGGAACAAGTGTTTCAGGCAGTGTAACTTGTTGGGTCATTGTGATATGCAAACCCGATCACCACATCGAGGTAGCAGGTATCGGTTGGGGGGTATCTGCTGAAATGATGCTTCAGCATTTGCCTAGTATTCCTAGTTTATGAGACTTATCCATCCCTTGGGATCAGCTCTTATGCAGTAATCATTAAGTAAACTTCTATGCTTTTGATCATGCACCATTGTGGAATAGTTCTGTGATTTGAGTTTTTCACATTTGTTTGTGTTTTTTACACTACCTAAGCGTACTTTTTGGTTAGATATTTAAAAACACATTTATTTCTTATTTTGATTGCCTAACGATTGTACCAAATTTATTCACCAGTCAGTCTTTCAAGGTGGGTTTAGGTTGTCACAAGAGTTCTGTGATTTTAATTTATCGAGAGACCTGATTAAGTCATGGTTTGTTTCGTGTTTTGATAATTTTTAGGATTTAGATGTAACATTCGTTGCCTTTCATTGTGATAATTTTAGTGTTGTCCTGGATTTCTTAACACTGAATTGACCAGTCATAAGGGAACAAAAACGATTGATGAAGGTGAGTACATTGTCATGTGTTTAGATGCGTTTCAATTCTCATTAGAAATTTATCATTTTGGAGCACAGAATCGGTGGAGACAGACCATTGATTAATAGATGCGAGGACTCACTGTGATGTAATTTGTTCCTCAGATAGTTAAGAAATAAGTCACTTGAAAGCAGTGGTGTGGGATCAACATGCATTCACTTAACTGTTATTATGCTGTGTGGTGCTTCTTCGCTGAACTCTGATTCAACCTAAACATAAATGTACAAGGTATCGTTCCCATCTGTCACTCTCAGCATTGCTCAGTGTGTTGCTCAGTTTTTCATTAATCTTATGACTGCGTATACAATGCAGCTGTGCATTTAACTGCGACACGTATACTTGAAGGGGCTCTTAATGTTCAGTAACCAGCAACTTGAGAAAATAGTCGTTTCAAATTCAGTTGTGAGTAGTTGATATCGAAATTAGATACACAACTACATTTAAGTAGACCATTGCATGAAGTGACCAACGTTTATTGACTAAATTGTAAGACATCTGCCCTCTTTGAAGGATATTGTTGAGTTCAGACAGGTGGTCTACAGCGTAGCTTCCGAAGTAACCCGGTAGAGATATTATGTCGACACATGAAACTTAAAAAAGTCCCACATAGTTAAAGCAACTAGGACCGTTGATTTAAGTCATGAGGGGAACTGTATACCACTAGCCTCGACTGTAAAGAATGATAATTTCTTGGCTGTGAACTATTCAGTTACTTTTTCACGTGTTAATCTTCTGTGTTTTTCAGCAGTCTGCATCTTTATGTTGGCATCCATATTGCATTTACGTTTATTTAGACATTTAGTTTCTTTTGTTACGTAGGGTATCATCTCTGACTGTTCTATATTAATTTCAGGTTAGTATTCAGCATGCGCTGACATCGGTTGGAGAAACATTGGAAATCTGGGAGCACTAGACAAGTGTCTAGTCCTACTCTCTCTCTCTCTCTCTCTCTCTCTCTCTCTCTCTCTCTCTCTATATATATATATATATATATATATATATATATATATATATATATATATATATATATACATAGGAAGTTTTTCTTAGACGTGCTCTGTTATCTACTTGAAGTAAACTAACGCCAGCGATTGCATCTTAGCAATCACGTGGTGTTTCTTCACTCAGCCATAAATCATTCATGTTATGTGGCAGTTATCGATACAGTTTAGCTGTTCACACCTTGATGAGTGTGAAACCAGCTTTAAAATGTATGAATAACTGCTCAGAATTTAGACTGTCGTTAATGTTAACGAATGAAAGCAACTCACTTAACTGCAGGAACTGCCCTCACATGATAGTTCGCGAAGTTTCACAGTGACAGCACTCAACGTATTTTGGTTTGGAAACGGTGCATAATGTCGATCTAAGGTGCAAACTAAATATAACTAGGTATGGATATACGACTTTTCGAGTTTGAGAACGTGAGTACCTTCAGTGGCGGATAATTGTATTATTTTTCGTCGTAATTTTCGTCCTATTCCGAAATTTACAAACCATTAATGACCTGTTAGTGGTTTTAACAAAATTATATTATGACTTTGGTGGGATGAATTTACCTTGTTCATATGAAAAATACCTTAAGTAACCAGTAAAAATACACAAATCGGTGTCTTTTCGTCTCTTTTCTAAACATATAAACGTATAAAATACTGAATTGTAAAAATGATAGTTTCAAAGTATATAAAGTTGGTCGGAAACCAACATTCCAATACATAAAGGTTCATCACATTAACATTGCTGTCCTTCAGTATCTAGCTTTCCTGGCATAAATGTACAGTGGATTTTTAGAGGGGGGGGAGAGGAAATCAACGTAGAACCTCAAACATAGGTGCGTCGGCTCATGTTGCCACACTTCCCATAGTTAGCAAATAGCTGGTGGCTAGAGAGAGTCATATCAAAGGCATTCAGATGAAATGTATCTCCTAAAAGCAGTTTGCTAAAGGAGTGATGACATCCGGCTTCGGTCCTAACTTTCATTTCACCTTCAATCATCACGTAGTATAAATACTGTTCTGCTAAACCACGGCTATTTTAGATAGTCAAAATGATAATCTTTATTGCTAAGCGCATGACAACATAGAAAGATTTTTATAATTTGCCTGTAGATTTGTTATAAACAAATAGTAATAGTACGTATGCTGTTTTACTAGTCTGTCACACTTATCGTGTGAAGGTTTATAAAACTATCCGGTTGCCTAGGCCACAGTAGGTGGTTCCTGCTTCTAACTTGATTGTTCTCAGATAACTAGTTGCTGTACGAATACCAATACACAGCTTTATTTTCGTTAAAAATTGTCTGTCAACTCGGTGAAATCACACTGATACAAACATGATAGTATTTTATCAATTTATTGTAATAAATCTGACTGTTTTAGGTTCTGACACTCCGTTTTACCTGGCAACTTTACCACCTGAGGCACAAAAACCAATCAATCAGTTTGTGTATGATCGAAGAGTAATTGCTTGGTGCAAATAAATTCAATGACAATGAATGCTAGTTAAAGCCTTGCTAATCAATGTAGACAGTAGCTTACTGTTTTATGCGATCTTATTAACTTCACTTTGTGTATTGTTTTACAGTCGGATACTAATCAATTAAAACATAGTATTCCGAAGTAATCAATGTGAGAAATCAGTTTCTGTTTCGTTATTAGCATTATAGTTGGAATATCCTTTTCTGAAATTATGATATACAGAATATATGATGCATTTATGTTTATTTGTTTTCGAGTGGTCAATAAATGTGTTAGTTTTGCAAAATATGGTGTTTATATTTATCCACTTGCAGGCGCATTGTTTATTTTTGCATGAATATGTATTGTGGTTCTTGTGGGGAACTGAATACTAGAAATTATTGTGTTAATTGTTCCAATATAGTTGTAAGTCATGAACTGAAGAGCTGTGTGTATCTTTTTCGACCACAACATTGAGCAACTTGGGTATGAATATGAGAGGGAATAGGTTTTTTGCTTGGGACTGCACTCCACACAATCTATAAAGGATTAAGTTTAATGTAATAAGTGGTACGCAGCTTTAGGTAATTGATCATAAAGGTGGTTCAACGTAAAAATAATGACTCCCGTCCGCTGTAATTCATTATTTAGCATCTAGATTCGTTTACCAGTGGTTTTGTTGAAATGAGAACTCACAATAACTTTTTCCAAGACCAATTGTGGTATTTTTCTTAGTGTTTCAAGTGTTCTGAGATTTACATTTCAAGATGATCAACACCAAATAGTCAGACACATGCTTTTCATGTGTTTTATTTTAGGAGCATGGCGTTTGAATTTCTTGGAGGAATAAGTTTGTCTAGCTTTTTCATTGTAACACTTGACATTTGAACTTACTGGTAGTTGCTACATAAATGTTACGTAGAATCGTCTAAAATATCGAGCACTTTTAAAAATACCATGTTTAAGTGATATGCAGTAAATTCCTTTGTAAGTTAATAAGATTAACAGGACTAATCCACTTTCGTTTTCATGCACCATAAGTATAGTCAGTCACCGGCAGATGTCAAGTAGAGTTTTAGTCCATCTTCGGCATCATCCATCCTGGTTTTTTCATCTTCCAATAACTCCTGAACTACATATTGGCACTATGTTCAATCAGATAACGGGTCTTATTTTGGTTAAAACTCGAGATTTGCTACATCATAGATGCTTGTTATGCCTCTAAGACACGCTTACAGGATAAAAAATTTTTCGATTCAGCTGATCTCTGACGGTCAACTGTACGTGATAAGCATCAACTTCAGTTTTAATTCGAAAGAATATCTAACTCAGTAATCGCTGAGGCCAACCTAACATTGTACTCGCATATCATATCATATTATCTTTATTCATATTTGCAGAGATTTAATATAAAATTACTATCCAATCTTGCATAGTTGTGTAGGTCGTCAATCACAGCACACATGCATATGCGTATGATTGTTGACAAAAGGGGGGTAAAACAGTTTGATACTCGGTTGGAAGATTGGTTTTATACATTCTGAGGAGCGGAAGTAGCCGAAACGCTAATCATCTAACAGCTTTCACTGTGACTGTTCGTGGTGTAATAGGAAAAGATAACTTTCGGGGCCTAACACTCCGAAAAGGATCTTTTCTGAAATTGAGACTAACTAGTGGCTGTGAAATCAACCTTGACTTTCCGAATTTTCATCACTTTACGAGGGTTGTATATCGGGACAAATCTCAATGGTCTAATTTCAAATGTCTTTAAGGCTGTGTGGCTAAAAGTTAATGCCTAGATTGTTTGAGGAGTATGATGGTCATAAATGATTATTTCATTTTGCTCTGGACTATTGATTGTTCTAGTTCATAAGAATGACAAGAAACGTTTTTACAGAAAGTAGATAGGGTTACCTTGATTAGCGCAGCATATCAGGCAGACAAAATCACCGTAGAACCTAACACAGAAGTTCATAAGTTGAAATCGCCACACTTCGTAGTAGCATGGAAAGAAAAAGTGAATAGGAAAAGACACATCAAACTAGACAAAGGTGCATCAGAGGAGGAGTTTGAAAATCAAGGTTAGTTAAGACATTTAAGCTCTAGAAGAGTGAAGAGTGAATACATTTCCATTGTTACCGATTTCCAACCATGTCACCAAAAGTCCTGAACCACCAGTTCCTATCGCCTCGACGACCCTAGTCAGGTAGTCTACACTTCCCTGCACAACTCAAACCAACAATCAGGGATTTCAAGTCCTGGTCTGGCCACTTTGAAACCTCATCTAATCTAGCCCAACTTTCCCTGTGATGGCACGTCGAAGTAGGTGGTGGCTTGGCATGTCTAAGTCACCTCAGTCGGTGTAGGTCCACATCCTCATTGATTAATTTATCTTCCTTCCCTACAACCCTTCACTTAACTTCGACATCACTAACATCGTGATCCCACCGTACGCGAGGGATCATACGAAGACACATGGTCAAAGATTTGCAACTGCTTCATGCTTTCTACTTTCGATAATCATTTCTTATAGTTGTACAACGGGATAGAACGGACTGCAGCGCAGTATACTCGTCCATTATTGGGTAGTCGGATATCTCGTCAGTTGGTGCAAGAGGTGATGCAAACTGGCAAATGCCAAACCGGCCTTCTGTATCCGAGCCGAGATTTCGTCAACTGGTAACAGGTATTCATCAAGTTGCAGTCGATAAAGATGATAGCGAACAAATGTGAAATCTGAAACTTATCCGTTTCTTCAAACGGAGGAGTGATGGTGTAGTACTAAAGTATCTGAGATTGATAAATATGCGTCAAATTACTCCAACAGACGATCAAAGACTGAAGTATTTCTTTTTGTGCTTTGGTTCATTTCACCTATATAATTATTACATTATTATTTGTCCCTTAGGTTCCTAGTGGAACATAGGGCTTCAGTAGTACGCCTCCATTCCACTCTGTTCTCTGCAAAACTTTTCAACCTGGCACTACGACTCCCCACAAGCTCTCATTTCCTCCTCACACGATATCCTCCATGTCACCCTCACCTCGGACGCCCAACTCGTCGTTTCCCGTTTGGATTCCACTCGACGACCTGACCTTACGCGTGATGTCCCAGAATGGTTTTCTCAGTGTATGTCTAATCCATTTCCACTTTCGTCTTCTGCATATATGTTGGGTGATAGGTTCTTGGTTGGTTCGTTCCCAGAGTTCCTTGTTGCTTATTCTTCCTGGCCATCTGACCTTCAGTATCGAGCATAGACAGTTGTTGATGAATACCTGCAGTTTGTTGGAAATGCTTTTCGTGACACGCCAAGTCTCTGAACAATATAGAAACACTGACTTGACTGAATCAGTGTTGAAAATCCGGATCTTGTTCACGCTTTATGCTGAGTACAGTAGATCTCCACACTGGTTTCAGGTTAATGAAGGCCTGTCTTGCTGTCTTTCCGATCCTGGCTTTCATGTCCTCGTCTGTGCCTGTGCCGCCTGTAGTTGAAACGATGCTGCCTAGGTAGGTGTAGGGGAAAGAGGCTACTTCCTTTAAGTTTTTCCCGTTCATGGTGATTGGAGCTTGTTATTGTTGTTGGTGGTGTTGGTTAGGTATCATCATCACCTCTGACTTCTTTACGTTCACTTGAGGTCCCGTCTTCGCTGCCCGGCCTCTTCTGTCAACTTGTTAGTTTTCGCCTGTGAATCTTCGAGTTTGTGCGATACTAGGCACAAGTCATCGGCGAAATTCAAATCTTCTAGGGTGTCTTCATCGGTCTGGCGTATGCCCGTCTTCTCGCTCCTCACGGTTTGTTGCATGATCCAGTCGACCACGATCAGGAAGATCATGGGTGATAGTAGGCAGCAGCCTTGTCTTACCTGTCAACCCGTCTTCACTTCAAAGGCATCACTGAGCTCAGCTTTCCATTGTGAATCACTTGGCATGTGACGTCTTCATATAGCTGTTGAATGAGATTGATGAGGGTTTGTGGTATTCCGTAGTGTTGAAGCAGCAGCTACCAAATTACTTCTTGGTCAACGTTGTCGAAGGCCTTTTCAAAGTGGATGAAGTTGAGGTAGAGAGTTGACTACCATTCCATACTCTGTTCTATGGTGATGCGTAGCGTTGCAATTTGATCCCCACATGATTTGTTCTTTCTGCAGCCAGCCAGCCAGTTCCGGTCGTAATTTTGAATCCAGCGCATTGTTTAGTCTCTCCAGGATGAGGTGGCTTAATATTCTGCTAGAGGTGGACAGCGTTGGAGCATGATTCCACGCCAGTTCTTGCAAAGACTTGGGTCGCCCTTCTTTTGAAGTTTGACAAGGTAGCCCTTCTTCCAATCGACAGGCAGGTACCTTCCCTTCCTTCCAAACCTTCTGCAGTAGTGGTGTGAACATGTTCGTTGTTGTCTCTGTGTCTGTTTTCAGTGCTTCTGGCGGAATTCCATTTGGTCTTGCTGCTTTCCCTCATTTCAGTAGCCTTATGGCGTTCAGGACTTCGACTTTCGTCGGAGGGTGTGTGTTTACTTGTAGTTCCGTGGCTGCTGGTGGTATTTATGGACTAGTTGCAGGTGGTGGTGGTGGTTGTCGACTCAAGAGTTTTTCGAAGTGGTCAGCCTATTGTTTCCCTTGTTTCTCCTCTTTGGTATCTAAGTTTCCTTCACAATCTCTCATTGGTTCCATCTGCGTTGATCTCTTCCTAGATCGATAGTAACCTGGTTATTTGATATGATGTTGGCAGGTCTCTGTCTCTCCTGCCTGCAGCCTGTTCTGCTTCACTTGCCAGTGTGTCGTAGAAGTGTCTTTTGTCTTTGCACGCACTCTTCTTCACTTTGTCCAGTGTAGTGTGTTATAGGTTGTATTCAGTTCCTCTTTTCGTTGTTCATTCTTGCACTGCACTACACTGCACTGGTTCACCTTCTGCTTCACCATCTTCCTCTCACTGCTCTATCAGCTTCCATGTGTCCGTTGAGATCCATTCCTTATCTTCTTTCTTCTTCCTTCCTAATACGGTTATGCAAGTTTCCTCCCACATCTCTTTCAAAGAGTTCCAGTGTTCATCCACACAGGTTCCTTCAGGGATGTTGCTCAATTTCTCCCATCTTGTCGTGATGGCTGACGTGAAGATGTGCCTTGTAGTTTTGTCCTTCAGTTTCTGTTCTGGGCGTTGAACTACAACTGTGGTCTATCGCCAACTTCCTTGAAGGCTTTCAACTTGATTCGGAAGGCAGGTTCCTTGCACTAGATAGTGAGTGGTGTGAACCTACATCTGCTCCCCTTCTTGATCTGATCTTGTGTCCAGTAGGCTGTCTTCACTTT